TCTAAGAAGAGGAAATGTAATTCCACTTGCTAATTTCTTCTTTTGTACTTCTTAAGAGCATTTTCAAGTTTCCTGCATATTGATCTTGTTTGTCTCTTATTAAACTTGTGTCTAGGTATTTATACTTTTTTGTTGTCATTGCAAATAGAGCCTTTTCTTCCATAAAATCTTCTAATTATTGTTTGTGAATACGAAAGCTGATGATTTCTATTTGCTAACTTTGTGTCATGCTTTTCTGGTGAATTCCTTGTTTGAGATTGGGTTTGCAGGTATACAATTGTATCCTGCACAAATAGTGATAGTATTTCAAATTTGAAGCCTTTATTTTTTTTTTCCTGTCTGATTACATTGTCCACTACCCTAGTGTAGTGCTTAGTAGTAATGGGCATTCTTATTTTGTTCCTAACTCTAAAAATGGATACTAGTGCGGCTGTGGTTGTAGCTCAGTGGTAGAGCACTTGCCTAGCATGTGTGAGGCACTGGGTTTGATCCTCAGCACCACATAAAAATTAATAAATAAAATACAGGTATTATATCCATTTACAACTAAAAAAATTTTAAACAACTGATACTAGTTTTGAAAGAGATATAATTTATCATGCTGAAGAAGCATCCTCCTATTCCTATTTTATTGGGAATTTCATGAAAAACTTTTTTTATAATTTTGTTAGACATCTTTTCATTGTCTATGGAGGATATTGTGATCTATCGCCATAGATTTAAGAACATAGTGAGTTATATTATTAAGTATATTGAATTATTTTCATCTCTGAAATAATCTTTTGCTCATGGTGTCTTTTAATGTGCTTTGGATTAGGTTTGCTCGTGTGGCTGCAATGTGTCTAGAATTTGAAACTAGATTTTCTCTGTGGGTTTCCCATGGCCACGTGACATGGTGCTTGGAAAGGTGTATCCTTTCCTTAGTCACAGCCTGTTAGGTCTCCCCTGATCCTGTTTCTTTGTGAGTCCTGATGGATGGTGGCCCCACCCACCACAGCTGGGCTGGTGGAAACCAGTCATTCTGACCTCTCCCACCCTTTGTTCCTGTCCCACTGATCCTTTTGATTCTGTTTTCACAATTGATCAAAGCTTGATCCGTCTTTTGAACTCTCATTGATTTCCTTATTGACCTCCTGGTTTCAGTCTCTCCCACCTGGATGCCACCTTGTCCACGGTTGGGCCTCTTCCTGCCTCCGCACTCCCCAGGGCTCCCTGAGCCTGCAGGAGAAAGTCCAAATTCAAGTGCTCAGGACCACCAGTCTGAGCTGAATCTACCTCTCCCACTTTGCACCTGCTCCCCTCCTGTCTTCGGGTCCCCTGCAATCCAGCTCTGACCTGGAGTCAGGGATGATGACCAGGCCATCACTGGCATGGCACACCTGGAGCAACCGGAACCAATGTGGCTGTGCCAGCTGCTGTGGGTGGCCTGATTGGCCCCACCTAGACTGTGACAGGTGTTAGGCTGACAGGCACCACTGTGTGAAGCATGGAGGGAGGTGATTCAGTCTATATCCCCTGTGGGCAGAGCCAGTGCTAAGCCATGTCACCATGATGATGACCTGCCCTAGGCACAGGCATGGAAGAGCAGCACCCCAGGCTCCTGCAGCAACCACTACAAGGTCCCACTAAGGTTCGGCCAGGATTGGAGACCCACTCATCCCATGTTCCCTCTCCTGCTGTCTCATACTGAGACCCCCGGGCTAGGTAGCTAGAGCTGACAGCATCTCCGAGTCAGAGACTCCATCCATGTCACAGTGACTCAGGAGATTCTTTTCCAGGGAGATGTCCAGATCGGTCTCCAGCTTATACTAATATTGCCGTTTGTTAAATCCTTGATAATTGTGGAGGCATCTGCTTATGTTATTCACAGACTAGTTTTATTCATTTATTCTTTTTTTCTCCTTGGTATCACTTATGAACAATTGCTTCATTTCCTTGGTCCATTTTTCTGCTTGGAGTTCAAGTTTTCTTTGCTGTGTTACTTTGGTAAGCTTCTCACACGTTCAGGGCATTGAGGCTCTGATCAACCCGCTGAGCTCTGTGTGTGAGATGGAGGAAGTCACATAGAAATCGTCAGGTCTGTGGTGGTGACTTAGAACAAAGCAGCCCGGGCAGGCGGGAAGGAAACATGGATCAGGAGCCGAGGGAAACGCCTGTCAATCAGCGGGATCTCCTGATTAACCCGAGTTAATCCTGGAGTTCAGCCAGCTCCCCCACCAACTCCAGCAGGACAAGGGACTCTAAAAACACCTTTTCCTGTCCCAAGCCCCTCCCTTCCTGCTGTGAGCCCTGTAAAACCCCAGTTCGGTGGAGATCCCACGTGGTTTCTCCTCAGACCCTCCTCCTGTCCACTCTGTCTGATCGAGTTCTGTGGGTGTATGTGTGTGTGTGTGTGTGTGTGTGTGTGTGTCTCAAATCAAGCCTCTGTTGGCGGCCTTTTAAAATCTGCTCACCTTGCCCCATCTCACAGAAATGTCCACCCTTGGCCCAGAGCACTGAATCACCCACTGGAAGAAGAACACATTCTCCATTCAATGGGTCACCCATGGACTGGATTCTCTCCCCTTGAAACCTAGGTAATCCCCAGAGAGAGGGTAGAAGATAAACCACCAAAAGGTGGGGTCAGGAAACTTGCTGACCTCACTTAGGGGGGAGATAGGGGGACAGAATAATGACTCCCCGACTTTTCCTCTGGGCTCTTGCTCACCTGTCCCCCCATCCCCCAGCTTCCTCTATTGGCCCCAGAACTCCCTGGAAGGATTTTGCTAAAATGCACATTTTGATTCTCTAGACCTGAGGCCAGGCTTTCTTTACTGTTATTTTTCCTTCAGTCCTGGAGATTAGAGTTGGGGGGAGTAGGGGTTCTATACCTGAGCTACATCCTATTTTTTTTTTACTTTGAGACAAGGTTTTGCTAAGTTGCCCAGACTGGCCTTGAACTTGTGATCCTCCTGCCTCATCCTCCTGAGTTGCTGGGATGACACGGGTGCACCACTGCACCTGGCTTGGGACAAATCTTTCTGACAACCCTCCGATGAGACAATGCTGCTGAGCCATGGGCCCTCTTTAGCAAGTTCTGTCACCAGAGAAGAACTGTCACTGAAAGATGGTCCAGGGGGTTCCAGGGGTGGGGAAGTGACTCACCTCAGCACGAGGGGGGTCCTTGGCTTATGAGAGAGAGAGAAGAACTTCAGTAAGCACCAAAGACACAGAGATTGATTGATTCAGGAAAAGGGAGGCATATTCAAGAGAGAATGTTGGCTACCTGAAGAGACGCTGCCTTGGAGGAAGGCAAAGAAGACGAGTTCAGGGGGAGAACACAGCCATCTCGAGAGTGAGACACTTGGGCTCCCAGCTCTTCTTCTATAATAAGCCTGGCGAGGGCTGAGCATGGGGTGGTATATAGGGATGACATCAGCCTGGTGCTCACGGGACAGTTCATGGTGATCTGGTCATTCTCAGGATCCTTGGTCTGATGTTGTTTCCATTATCTGATGAGCAGATAATGTTAGAAAGTCCCCCAAACTAGAGGTGTCTTAGAGTCTCCTATCTCCCTTTGCTTCCCCTATTCGTTGGTGGGCTACCTTACTGAGTTCAAGGTACTAATCCTAAAAGTGATTTGTTTGGCAACATTAAGATTTACAAATTTCCTAGAATTTGGGAAGAACAGCCCTGAGAAAGTATGTGGAATTTAAATCAAAATATTTCCTGGTCCTTCCTTTACATCTTCTTCTCTCCTCCTCCAGGTATAGGTGCCACCTTTCCCCAGCCTCCCTCTCATGCTACCCCATCCCTATGCCCCTCCTCCAGGCTAGCCAGGCCTCACCTCCTCCAGGAAGCCCACCCAGTGCTCCTGAAGTAGGAAGAAAATCTCCACCAGGCCAGGACCCTAAGGATGTGGATGTGCTGGCTGGGGTCCCGGACCACTGGCACCCTCCTGGGAAGCTGGCGGTGGGTATGGTCACCACAGGATCCAGCATGGTGACTGGTTCCTGGAAGAAAACATGACTGGCTGCTTGTGAGTGTTTTCCTATGTTTTCTGCAGCTTTGTAAAACCTTTTTCAGTTTCCAGACAGTAAACAATTTAGGTGTGTGGATGTGTGTGCACACGCGTATCTTGAGATCTGTTTCTGCATCACATGAAGCAAGCCAGAGACCCGGGCCCAGAAAACCTTACCATAATAAGCAGATCCTGGAGTTCAGACCCCCACCCTATTTGTGGCATGTAACTTCCTCTTCTTATCAGAGAGCTTTTGGCACAGGACACTAGCTTTCAGCAACAATCTGCAGAAGGCACTGGTTTGCAACTTCCTCTGTTTATAAATGCCAGGTTTGCAGAAAAAACTGTGAATCCCCTGTCATCGAGAGGATGGGACGAAACCCTCTTGTCATGTGAACCTCCTAACCCCTTCCCCACACACTGGGTGTAAAGTTCAACGAATTTCTGCACTCATCGTTGAGAAGAACTCTTACTCAAGAGCCACCTCTGAACCCTGCAGTCAATAAACCTGCTTCCCGAAAATTCCTCAGGTGTCCAGCCTCCTCTGTCCCATGTCACACACGCTGAGCAAGAGCATGTCGACTTCTTTCCCAGAGAGCTGCTGTTCTCCCCACCAATGTCCCCGTGCCCGCTGAGGCTCCCACCTGTGCCAGCAGAAGGACACTTGGAATGAACTCGCCTGTCCCTCCAGGAGGAGGGCCCCCGTCTCCGTCTTTCCCTGGGAGCGTCTCTCTCGGGATTCCTGATGTGGGCAGCCCGACCTGCTTTGTCCATGATGCGTGTCTCTGCACCCTTCCAAAGGGGCTAGGGTGCCAAGTCTCAGGCCTGCTCTTCGTGGGCTCCCAGGGAGCACGTCTCTGACGGGGGCGGGGTGGCACTCTGACCATACTCCCTGTCAACATGGGGTGTTAACCCCAGCTCCTGTGACCATGGGCAGTGTATGTGACAGTCACAGTGCTGGTTACCTTCCCCAGCACTTAGCATGTCCCCTGGCAGATGGTCAGTACTTGGAAATAACTCTTTAATCAGACGTATGAATGACTGAACTATGAATGAGCATGTTTGTTTGATAAGCTGAACTCTCAGAGAAATAGGTTTTCACACAAGCAGAGTTTTGGTGTCTTTGAAAGAGAGAGAACGATCCCGTCCAGAGCAATAGCCCCCAAGAATGGGAACGCCTCTTGGTCTTCACTGGGGAAACTCCAAGGCACTGGGAAAAGCAGGTGAATTTGCATGGGTCAAACTCTCAGAGGTGGTTCCTTCGGTCATCACTGCAATAAACCAGATTCTTACTTGCATGTGCGCTTATTCACTCGCCACTCCACAAATAACTATGGGGCCGGAGTGTGGCCCAGGCCACCCTGGGGATTCAGAGTCAAAGACCCTGTCTTCATGGCCCTTGGAGCCAGCAGAGGGGACAGACAGCACTACAGCCCACTAGCAAGTCACCCAGTGAAAGCCATGGAGGCAGGCAAGGCAGAGAAGGGACAGGGACATGGGCAGGGGAGGTGTTGGTTGACTCCAGCGCACAGGGCCACCAGCTCAGTCCCTAATGCTGTGCCCCATTTCCACAATGCCCCCCTCCCTGACTTCCCTCTTCTTAAGGTCAACCTTGATATCCCCAAGGGCGGCTGGAGGACTCCAGAACTGGTCTCACCCAGAAGCAGGGTGGTGGCCTTGCACTCCTGCAGTGGGTATGGCCTCCAGTTGCGTCCTGAAGGGTGTGTCTGGTCTGTCTGACTCACATTTCTGTGTTACCCATAATCCACTGAGGACAGCCCCTGGTTCACACAGCAGAAGCCTGGCCAGCCCGAGGGCAGGACGTGGGGAAGAGCTGTCTCTGGCATGGCAGCCACTCGCTGGCCCCACTCCCTGACTAGGACAGTCGAGGGCTCTGCTCATCCACCCCACCCACCCTCCCAGTGAGACCCCTCTAGGTGCACCTCACCCTCTCACCTGGCCGCGCACCCCACAAGCTCAGCTTCAAGCCATCACCACCGTCCTGTGTGGAAGGAGCAGCTGACCTCTCCAAGGTTTCTCATGTTGACAGTCTACATGGTTTTCTGGATTCAGAGGGGAATCACCATTTTAATAATAAACTAATCCTGTAAATAATGTTTACAGGGAAAACAGCCGGCCCTGGTGGCATGGCAGTCTCCCTGTGGTGACGCACACGCAGCACCAGGTCTTTTTACTATGACAAGTCAGGTGGGGTGCTGGCAGGGTGTTCTGCGGTTCTGACCAGTGCTCCGGCCATGCTGGTCCTGGACTGCATGAGCATCAAGGGTCAGGGCGTCCTCTCTCCTCCACCCTTTGTTATCACCTTCAGTGGTTCTCAGATGGGCAATTTTCCCTAGTGACTTTGTTAACGGTCACAACTGGGGCATTGGCACTGACCATCTAGTGGACAGAGACCAGGGCTGCTGTTCAACCTCTGACCATGCACCAGGCAGACAGATCCAAATATCAATGTGCCTGGTGGAGGCATCTGCATACCAATGCAACGGATCTAACTCTGTCTACACACTAGGGTCCTCTGAAAGATGCCAATTGCTAGGGCCCCTCCTACACAAATAATGCCACAATCTCCAAGGTTAGCACTGGTTTCACACATTTTAGCTGTGCCCTGTGATTCCAAAGTACAACGCTGGCTGAGAATCAATGGCCTCAACTTGCACTGACTAAGAGTGGGAATTCTGGGATGGGGCAGAGGATTGGTATTTGGGGACTTCTAATGGTCTCTCCAATCACACAGCACAGATTTTTGCTAACACCAGCAGCCAGTGTGAAGCAGCCTAAAGACAAATGGCCAGGGGGCCTGCTTGGCGGGGACCTGGGTTTCCAGGCCTCTCCCCATGGGCACTGTGGCTGTGGCTGTGCCCTGGTTCTTGGGAGACAGCAGAGGGTCTCATCCACTCTCTTTCCAGGTGACTCATGCTTCCTCATCGCTGTCACCATTGGCTCACTATTGACTCAGGGATTTTTCCATGTCATCTTCTTCAAAATAATGGATGTGGATAGTGAGTCATCAGCATGGTCTTCCTGTTACGGCTCCGAAAAGCAAGAGCGCAGAATTAAGTGAGTCAGCTAAAGAAGCAGCAGAGCTAAGATTGGAACCTAGAAATTATAACTTCAAATCAAAGGTCATCACAGCCACTGTAGAAAAACAGCACAGAGGTTTCTCAAGAAATAACAGTAGGTCCACAAGATAAACGCTCCATCATCTACTGACACATAGAATCTGGCAGTCAAACCCACACAGGCAGAGAGTAGGGGGGTTGATGGCAAGAGCTAGGGGCAGAAAGAAGGGGAGATGTGGATTAAAAGGCCCAAAGTTTCAGCTGGATGAAAGGAATAAATTCTGGAGTTCGACTCTATGCACAGCGACTACACTTAATAACAGCACATTACACTGAAAACTGGTAAAAGAATAGATCTTACGTGTTCTATATACACACCAAAATAAATACACGAGGTGATGGGTATGTTACTGAGCTTGACACGGTGATTTCACAAGGTATATCAAAACATCGCACTGTACACTCTAACTATATACAACTGTCAATTATGCTGTGACACAGCTGAGGGATGGAGTCGAATGAGGTCCTCACATTATTCCATTGCTTTCCATAGAGTTTATTTGTTCCCTTCAAAATGCATTGAAAGTTTGCTACACAGTAAGCACCATGTTAGGAGCTGGAGGGTACGAGCCTTTCAGAGCTCTAGCACACAGTAACTCAAGGCTCTTAGGTGGGAGATAACGGGAACAGACTTTAATGTAGTGTGGAAATGGCCAGAAGGCGCACCATGGTGGGGACCCTCATGCCACCCTCAGTCTGAGTCCCGGCACTTGTGAGACCCTGAACACCTCACAACCCTTCTCAGATCCCGCCTGCCCCAGCTATAGAAAGGGTACTCCAATTCCACCTCCCTGAGTTGCTGTGGTTATCAACTGGAGTCTCAAGACACAGGCCCAAAGTAAAGTGTTCGTTCAGTCATTCACCTGACCACTCATGGCATTGAAGGAGGGAGGGGAGGAAGAGAGGGAAGAGAAGGACCAGGCTGACCAGATTCAATGAAAAAGCAAAGTCTTGTTTGTTTCTCTCCCCAGAAAAAAGGCAGACATTTTAATTGAGTAGATTCTTAGATTTTTCTTGTCCCTTTTAAAAAAAAGAAGCATGTGTGTGTTGAGAGCCACAGCCGAAGGGGCCCCAGCAAACTTCCAGCTGCCAGCAAACTTCCAGCTGCCGGCTGATGATTGGCTCACAGCAGCCCCAGCAACATCTAGCTGATTGGCTCCTCTGCGGTGATGCTCATTGGGCTGTTTCCCTGCCCTTTCAGACCACGGAGCTGCTCATTGGGGGACTTTTTTGGCTCCGCCCATGTGACCCAGCCAATCGGCCTCAAGAGCAGGAGGATTGTGGGAGGTGGAGAGAAGCTTGTGTGGGAGAGAGAGGCTTGTGGAAAGCCGGTGGTGGCAGTTGAGGCTCTGAGGGTTTTTCCTGAGAGGCTGTTTTGTTTGGCGTGTGTGGTTCTAAAAATAAAGTTAGTTTCTTTTGACAAGTGGCTCCTGATTGTGCCCAGCCAGACTGCGGCATTTGGTGGCTCGCACGGGGAGCGACTGAGGGTAAGTGAAACTGCTCACCCCTGAGGGCAGGGCGAGAGGATGGGTAGCCATTTTAAGATTCCTCTTTTATTTTGCTTCACTTTTGTTTTAAGTTGCCTGTCCCTGGAGATGAGTGAGACGGAAGAAAAACCGCTCACCTCTGAGGAAAAACTATTTACGTCTGAGGAACAGATAGGGAGAAAGGACGGATGCACATGTCAGGAGGATAGAAAGGCTATAATGACTTTTTGTTGTTCCCTTTTTATTTCATTCTGTCTCGGTTTTGTTTGGCGTCATCTTGTTGGGTTGTATTACAGTAGAAATACAGGATCAGAAATTAGCAAAAAACAAACTGAAAGAGTGTTAAGTAAATTGTTAGAGGAAGGAGGCATCTCAGTAAAATCAAGAGCAGTCAGGGCATACGTTGATACAATACAAAAATGTAGCCCATGGCTTTTTAAGGAGGAGTTGTTAAATATATCACAATGGAACCATCATGGTGAAGATTTAAAAAGAATAGAAAAGAAAAGCCCAGGGACTCTGCCAGTTGGCACATTGCCATTGTGGACGTTCATATCTTGTTTGCTTAGTCCAAAGCCTTCAGTTCAGACAATGGTAGAGGAAGGAGAAGACATAATGATTCAAGTAAAAGAGAAGGTCTCTCAAGTTAGTCAGACAGAGGAAAAGATTCAAGTAAAAGAGAAGGTCTCTCAAGTTAGTCAAACAGAGGAAAAGATTCAAGTAAAAGAGAAGGCCTCTCAAGCTAGTCAGACAGAGAAAGAAAGTGTAAAACAGAAAAAGCCATCAGGGGGAAAGTTACAACAGGAGACTGCTACTAACACCTTTCTATCACCAGAGGGTGTAAGTGTCCAACCAACAGCACCACCTCTACAGGAGACTGCTACTAACACCTTTCTATCACCAGAGGACGTAAGTGTCCAACTAACAAGGCCACCTCCATATGCTGGGATGTCCCCAACCCCCGCAGTTGATAGTTGGGATCCTGAGACAAGATCTCAAATATTAACATGCCCTGTATTTGAGGCAGGAGGGCAGCGATTTTACCAAGTTTTAAATTTCAAAACAGTGAAGCAGCTAAAAGAGGCTGTAACAACCTATGGTCCTCAAGCACCCTTCACTGTAAGCATGGTCGAATCCATTAACAACTTGAACATGACGCCAGCAGATTGGGCTAATATGTGTAAAGCTGTGCTAAATGGAGGACAATACCTGTTATGGAAGGTTGCCAATGAGGAATTTTGCAAGGAGACGGCTAGGCGAAATGCAGCAGCTGGTTATCCTCAGAGAAATCTAGATATGTTGTTAGGAAAGGGACCTTATGAGGATCAGCAGCAACAAATTGCATATGATCCTGGTGTATATGCACAAATTGCTGTAGATGCAATTAAGGCATGGAAGACTTTACAAGGACATGGAGGTTTACAAGGTCAATTATCTAAGGTAATACAAGGAGCTAATGAACCTTATGCTGAATTTGTAGATAGGCTTATTCAAACAGCTACCAGAGTTTTTGGGAATACAGAACAAGCAATGCCATTACTAAAACACCTGGCTTATGAGCAAGCGAATCGTTGGTGCAGACATATCATTAGACCATGGAAACATGAAGATTTAAACACATATATTAAATTATGTAGAGACATTAATGAACAAGAGCAAGTCGTGGCAGCTGCAGTAAAACAGGCTTTAGATGCCAGAGACATTAATGAACAAGGGCAAATTGTGGCAGCTGCAGTAAAACAGGCTTTAGATGCCAGGCCAAGAACATGCTACAATTGTGAACAAACAGGACATTTTAAAAGGAATTGCCCCATTGGAGGAGGGTTTAACAAAACTAGGTATCAAAGGAGTAGAATACCAGGTATTTGCCCACGACGCCGTAGAGGGAGACATTGGGCTAATGAATGCCGTTCTCAAACCACCATAGAGGGTACTCCATTATCAAAAAACGAACAAGGACCAGGTGTTTATCCACGATATCGTGGAGAAAGGCATCGGGCTCCATTGCCAAAAAATGGACAGGGGGGGCCCAATGCTCCGGGGCCCAAAACCACAAATATACGGAGCACTGGAGGAACCCAGCAACCCCATCAGGGTAGTGCCCAGGACACATTGTCCATCAGATCCCTCATCAGACAAACCAGAGGGAGCGCAGGGTTGGACATCTGTGCCTCCGCCAGAGCAGTACTAACTCCAGAGATGGGAATTCAAATCATTCCCACAGGGGTGAAAGGACCTCTTCCCAAAGGAACAGTAGGCTTCTTATTGGGACGCAGCTCTTCTACTCTAAAAGGACTTATGATAAGTCCTGGGGTAATTGATCCCGATTATGAAGGTGAAATAAAAATTATAGCCAGTTCTCCAAAGGGTATATCAGTAATTTCACCAGGAGATAGAATAGCACAGTTACTAATAATACCC